TTCTTGGACTTTCACATTCACTAACCCAACTAGCGACAAGAATTTGAAATAAATTACAACCAATGAAATATTTTAATTGGTTGTAAAGTGATTTATTGATGTCAGAGCATCATTTAAATGATATGTTTTAATCGTGAGTTTTTTTTTTCAACAATCGAATGTACTTATTCGATATTCCCCCCAAATGCGGGGAAATATCTATATGCTATAGAGATCAAGGTTTTTATTTTTTCAAATAAAGTTTCCAGTTGTTCTAGTCTTAAATTATTAGTTATAAAAAGTTATTTTTAAATTATGCAACAACAATTTTATGTTTTAATACAATCAATTGATTTTGATAGATGTTAATTTAGTAAAAGTGCATTCTAATTTTTTAAGTAATGAACCTAAATGGATAAATTTGCTTATCAACAAATGAATGGTAAAATAAAGCAGAATTATAATTTATGTAAATATAAAAAATATTTTCACTCTATCTTATCATTCATTGATGTTTATAAGTTAAATATATGTAATGTATGTATATTATATACAATATTTAGTTATATTTTAGGGTTTAAATTATGTGTTATTTTATCTAATGTAAAAATTTAATCAAATTTATTATAACTTAATTAGGGTGGGGTGGGGCAAGATGCCCCCCTTAATAAACTTTATCGTATATAATAAATACTTTTACATTTTCTTGTGTTTTTTCTTTGTAATATTAAAGTTTACTTATAAGAGAAGATATTGGTAAGATAAAATAACTACTTTGTTACTGTTGATAAACTTTAAAATCAAAAAAAAAAAAACCTTGTGCCAGAAGACATCTTGCCCCAGTGGTGGGGCAAGATGCTCTATGGATTTAAAGAAAGAAAGCTTTTCACACGTTATTCCCCAAACCATTAAAACAGTTGTTAAAAATAACTTAAAGTTCTTAAAAATAAAAGCCCTTATTAGTTTTTTTATTTACTCTTTACATTTTATTAAAACAACTGAAATATTAACACTGCAAATAAATACTATGCAACTATTCTATACAATTGTCATGAAGATAAATAACTTCTTTCTTAATTATTAGCAATAAATAACTAAAATAAATGTTCTAATAACGATGTATATACATGGCTATGATTCACAGTAGTAGCATAAGTCTGAATCATCTGGACTACACGAAGAGTGGTACCAAGATGTACATTTAGTAAATTGTGTCCAATCATCAAATGGGGGCACATTATAAGCACAAGAGCATATGATGCATAAAGTAGTATCAGTAATAAAACATTGAGAGGCTTTCTGCTTTTTAGACTTCTTTGGTTTTTTTGTCCTCAAATTTATTGATTTCTTTTTTTGCTTGATTACCTTATTAAGTGCAGCTTTTTCTTTACACAATATTGCTTCTTGTTGCTTTTCTTTAACATTGTTTTCATGTTCTTCTAATCTCTTCTTGAAAGGCAAAGAAGTAAGATTTTCAGCTGATTCTGTCTTTCTTTTACGCTGTCTTAATACAGTAATTTTAGGACACAGGGAAATCTTTTCCAAAATATTAGGGGCGGATTTAAGGCCAAGATGCTCATCAACGACTGGCAAAACTGCATCATTTGATTGTGCTGGTTCTTTCGTAACAGTCTTCATTTTTGAGGCAACAGTTGCTGTGCTTATGACATCTGGCAACTGTATAAAAAGGTGCAACAAGAAGTATACTAGGCAAATCACTTAATTGCTGACAGCTTTCCAATGGCATAGCTTCATCAGTGAGCAAAGCTGCATCAAACGCTTCATTGTTAAAAATAAGCTCATTTATTGGGTATAAACCAGAGCATCTAAAATCCATTGAATTGCTTTGTCAATGTTTGCAGTAAAGTTATAGGCAGTTGTAAAAATACCTGCTATGTCAAAAAATGAAATTCTACGCCCCTGATGCAATAACATCCAGTTGCTTGCTGCAGTATTGTAACCAACTTTCAATGGTTTGAAAAATGTACAGTCTAAAGGTTGCATTTTTTGTGTACAATGAGGTGGAAGAGTTATGAGGTGAATCCCACTGTTGCGACAAAAGTTAATGGCTTCAAGTGTTTTGTGACTATGATGACCATCGAGTGCAATTAATTGCTCATTTTTTTTAGATGCATGAGTCACAGTAACAAAATGTGTTAACCATTCAGTGAATAAAGATGAATCTGTCCATCCACTGGAGCTAACTCTAACAATTGACCCTGAAGGTGCACCAAAAGCCAGCCTATCAGTCATTCGCTTACGGGGGAATATAAATAATGGTGGGACATAAACACCACTTGCACTCATTGCACACACGACAGTCACAGTAGCACCTCTTTCTCCACTAGTTATTTTTGAAACTTGTCCTTTTCCCTTTGTTGCAATTATTTTTCCTGGCTTATGGACATTTGTTATTCCAGTTTCATCCATATTCCAGAGCTGTTTGGCTGAAAACTTATGTTCCTCAAATAATGACTTGTATACTGAAAAAAACTGATTTAACTTTGGTTTATTGAAGCCAAGAGCTCTGCTTACACTGGTGGCTTGTGGGGTTCGAATAGAAAGTTGTGGGTTGTGAGACATAAAACCTTGCAGCCAATCCTTTCCTGCCATTTTTGATTCATTATTAAAAGGATTTTCAATTCCCATTTGTTTAGCAAAATCATATGCTAGGCGACGTATATCTATTGTTGTCAAGCCAAATAATGCTCTTTCCATAATCTGAACTTGTGTTACAATGTTTAATTCAAAATCTTAACTAAATACAGGAGATTTTCCACCCAGAGATAAACCACCAACTACCTTTACTTTTCCATCTCGATGACATTGTAATGTTTTTTTGCTAATACTAAATTCTGATACAACATTTTTCAGACTGCAGCATATCTCCATAGCTTCTAACGCTGACTTTATCCTATCATTAGTTGCACCTCTCTGTGTTTTTCGCACATAATTTCTCCCCATTATTTAAATTGTTTAAATATGTTTCTAAATAAAAATTTTAAAATTAAATTATATAAACATATAAACACATGCAAAGTATTATATAATTATTTAATATACTATTGTTTGAAACATTACCTTACATTTATAAATTAACTCTTTTTAAGTTAAATAAGAACTTACTTAAACTATATACATACAATTTTTGCACAAAGTTACCCAAGAATTATTAATAACAATGGTATTATTATTTTTTTTAGTTTATTATTGTTATTATTATTATTTACATTTAATTGTTGATCATTAATTTAATATAATAATACAACTTTATTTCCCCAAATGCAATGCAAATTTTAAAAATGCATTTAAAATACATTTATATATACATTTATAAATAATTTATAAATGTTTTACAAGTATGGATTGAATTGCAGTAACTGCATGTAATACAACTTCACACTTCACTTTATTTAGCATACATATTATAACATTTTAAAAATATATAAAATTATTTTAAAAAATCATTTATATATATGTATAATAGTTATCAACACATAAACCAACATGTAAACAAAGTCAATAACTAAATTAGTAAACGTTATTATGTTCTAAACACACTTTTAAAATGGTAGAAATTCCGTAAAACCACGAGACTAGAAGCCCTCCGTGGGCATCTTACCCCACGTAAACAAGGACATCTTGCCTCATGTAGTGGAGTGCAAGTTTAATACAAATAAAACTAATTTTGTTGCTTAATTAAAAACTTTTTTTTCTATATATTATTGTGGGACAAATTCTGTATAAAAAAAACTATTTTCTTACCTTCATCGCATAAGTATTGCCAGTCCAATAAACATTTGAAGTTAGAAGCAACTTACTAACAAAATACTCAAAAAAGTTAAAAATCTATTTAAACCTTAACTAATAACGATATTTAAACTATTTTTTGTTCCGTGATATTGTTTTAACTATATTAATATTATAATAGAGGAATAAAACATTACTATTCTATGATACCCTCACAAAAGCAAAAAGACTTCTTGCCCCACTGGTCATCTTGCCCCACCCTACCCTATAATATGTTTTCTCGATAACATTTATTTGATAAATTTTTTTCTGTTAAAAGTTTCTGTTATGAAAAAAATATTTATACAATGTAAAAAAAAAACTATGTAAAACATTACTATGTAAAAATATATTATTTAAAAAAAAAACAATGAGAAATTTGAATTTTAAAAATTAAAAATTTTTTACAAAACTTTTAAAGTTAAGTTAAAAAAAAACTTTTTTTTTGATTTAACTAACTACTTCTGAACATTTTTCAGTGAATTTCGAGTTATTTTTGCATACGTCATTTTAGACAAAAGCTGGTCTTTTAAGAGCTTAGCTGACTAGACGATGAAAGCGGCGCACTAAAGTATTAAAATACAATTTGGTCATTTAGTTTTAATATAACAGCTAAAATAATATTTTTATAAATTTTTTTGAGAGTTTACTCTTGATTTATTTTTATATTTTTGAAGTCTTAATCTTTTTTTAAAATTTTTATAAAAACTTTTTTATAAAATACTTCAAACTTTTACCTGAATAATTAAAGCTGAGTTATAATAATTTTTGTTGTAGCATTGCAATCGATAGTGCATTTGGCATTGCAAGCAATAGTGCATTTGGCTTTGCGAGCAAGAGTTCCAATTTTAATTACTTTAATTCTGAAGCACGTTATAAAATAGTGCTTCTTTTTTATTTTTTTGTTTATAGTTCAACCATTGTTAGCCATAAAGCACAAATTGAAAACCTTAATTATATACATATTATCTAATAAAATGTTTTCACAAAGTTCGGCTCAATTAAAAATTTAATATTAATTATCTAATTGAATACTAATGCAGCCCATTCACAAAGTTTATGCCGAAAGCCGTAATGAATATGATTAAATTTATTTTACACCTGCGGTTTCTAAACAAAACCCTGGAAGCGAATTTTATTTCACTACGATAGGTTAAGTAAGTTTTAAAGCAGTTTGATTGGCTAAATCATTTAGTTTTTTAAAAGGAAGCATGAAAAAGTAATGCCTTTTCTCTACTTTCTTAATTATTAAACACTGCAAATTTTTATATCGCTGTGAAAATGGGTATGAACTAATTAGTTTAAATATTTTGCAAGATAAATTTTTAGCATACAAAGTTTTGCAGTCAAACTGGAAATTGGACATTTTCCTGTTTGTATTGTGTCAGTTTAACTACCGTCTACGTCATTTGATATTTTTGTAAGCTCAATGGTAACAAAATTTTGTGCCCCCGTGTTTAAGAATATTTCTTGATTAAATACGATACCATGGAAGCTATATAATTAATGTGTAGCTAAATTCAGTATTTGAACTGTGGTTAAATTTATGAATAACGATTAAAATATTTGGTGAGAATAACGAAAAAAAAAATTAATCTTTAAAAAAGAGAAGAAATTATAAAATCAGCTGTCGATCTTATATAAAAAAGAAAAACAAAGAATTTTGTTTATGGTTGGCTAAAAAAGAATTTAATCAAAAGAATATAAACTCGGAATAAAAATTCGTATAATATATGTAAAAAAACATCTGCACTCTCAAACCAGTCTTTGAGAAAAACGTAACATGGATAAACTTTAAAAACAAGCGTCGTCTGTGACTTGTTATTGACTATGGTATAAATTTAAAATTTTTAACTGGTATAAACTAAAAATTTAAATGGGTGCAATATTAACAAATCCTGTACGAGATTTAAAGAATGATATTAAAATTACAAATAATAACAACATTCCCGAAGAAAAAAAAAATAATGCACCTTTTGGAAAATTTCACATTGTACAAGAATGCTTTCCTTCGTTAACTGGAAAAGAAAACAAGTTTTTCAGCGAAAAGGTTCCTTCATATTGGAACAAAGCAAAAGTTGATTCAAAAAAAAAGAATAAAAACAAAGAACTATGGACTTTACAAAATAAGGACTCGGTAAAAGAGTCAATTAACTCAACATATATTGAGGTGCGGTCTCAAGAAATCAAGATTAAATTGAACACAGCAACGGAAAAACATTTTTATGGCATATTAAACTTAAGTGAAACATTAAAATACATTGGATGCTACATATATCTCCGCTGCAGGAATATAGATGGACTAAAGCCATCTATTGTTGTTGGTTGGGTTAGAGACGTCGACAAAAGTCTTATTCTTTCAGGATGGCAAGAAATGGGTTTTGTTTCACAACCAAATATGATTGTTTTATATATGCTTTTAAGAGAAGTAATCCCTCCCAAGGTACGCTCTATTCATCAGTTAAAAGCAATAATGATGAGTACACTTTATATATGTTATTCATATAACGGACATGAAATAAGTTATCCACTAAAACCTTTTCTTCTTGATGGCGATCGTTCAGGGTTTTGGACAAGATGTATAGAAATAATAAATCTTCATTCAAGCAAACTCTTGCAAGTTAATAAGGATGCTAAATATTATAATGACGTTCAAGCAGAATTAAAAACGTTTGGTCGTAGTTTAGAACGTAAAGAAAATTAAATACAGCAATGTCATAAACATTTGGGCATAAATTAGAGTAAAACTGATATCATAAAACGACGTTCAATAAATTGAACCGCTTCTTATAAAAAAATTTCACCTCATGCGTTTAAAAAACCATTTGTCACGAATTCATTAAAAACAACATTGAGGTTGCTATTTTTTACTCAAAATCCTGGCACAAGATAGTTTGTAACAGATACTAAAAAGCCTGGCACAAGATAACTTGTAACAGATACTAAAAAATATTTGCGTTGCAGTTGGGTATACTGCCTACGAATTATTTATAGTAACAATCAATTTTTTTAAAAAAATTTTTTAACAAAATTTTTTATTTTAAAATTAATAAATGTGTTCAAGTACCTTTGTACATGTTATGTTTTTGTACATGTTATGTTTTTCTTAATAAAACTTACTAAATTGTTTTTAGTTAAGAGATACTTCCCTTTCACTTTCAAGTTATCTTTTCATTTTTTTTCATATAATAAGTTCAAAAAAATACGAACTTTATTCAAACTATATGAATAATATTGATATTTGGTTTTTAAGATAATGGTCTTGGTTTGCGTTTACCGTTATATGAAAACATATCTATAAAATATTTAGTAGTAGAATTTATTATTAGATACTTTTTTATAGACTTTTTTTATTAATACCTTATATATCTTGTGGTGATTTTAACAACGCCCAACCACGTCTGATTGATATTTGTATTGAATGTTACTATTTTCTTTTTTTCTTTCAAAATTTCCCTAATAATCTACATATATTAATACTAATCAACATATAAAATTTCCCTAATAATCTATATGTATTTTGTACGTAAACGAAAACAATAAAAACAGTTTAACAGTGAGTTAAAATTTTCAAAACAAGTAAAAAAAGGAAATTAAAATTAAAAAATAAGTTAAATCTTGGTTATGCACTATCTTACAATAGAACAGATTTTTTGGTTTCACCGCCAACACAAACTTTTATTTTTTTTGATCAATAAAATGTTACATACGCTATTATCAGTTAGTTAATTATTTAAAATACCACTAAATATGCAAATAATCGTGTAGAATGAGACAATATAATATAATTGTAATAAAAATAATGTAATAATATAATATAAACAATGACACTTATTATGTAGAACAATAATAATTATGCGGACTATTTCTACTAGGCAGCCTATATTGTTGGATCAACGAGTGGCAAACCACAATTATTGCACCACAAGTAATCTTGTAACACTATTTACTATATAGAACTTAAAACACTACACTGATTTACACTAAAGTGCGTTGCTTAAGGTGTGATTTCTGAGTAATACTACCAATTTCAACTGTCTAGTAACTCTAAACAAAATAGAGAAAAAACTTAAGTTTCTGGGACAACGTACTTTGTCACTTAGGGAAAAGACTGTGTTGATAAATACGTTAGCAATGTCAAAAGTGTGGTTTCTGGCAAACGTGCTGCCCGTTCCCGAATGGGTAATAGAACATTTACACAGTGCCAAATTCGAATTTCTGTGGCAAAAGACCAACTTCAATCCGGTCAAAAGAGAGACACTTTTCTTACCCGTCAAAAACGGGGGTCTCGGAATTTTATCGCCAAAGTAGCAAAGCCTTACATTCGTCTCAAAACACTTTTTCAACTGAAAGAATGCGGAGAGGATAAAACTCATAATTACTACTACTTTTCAAAGTACTGGTTAGCAAGTTCACTTATAAAGTTTACAAACCAAAACCAAAGCTGGAACTTTTTGAAACAGAACAATTTTCCAAAACACTGGGACAACAAAATGTCTCAGTACTACCAAACAATAATTGAAATATTAGGCAAAAACGGGTCCCTTTTTAACATCCCCCTAAAATCAACAAAAAAAAATTATTTAAAAGTGGCAAAAAACAAAAAGACAGTTGTGCCAGCAGAACTTTTATGGAACGGTTCGACAAAAACAACAATGCCGTGGGCCCAAATTTGGAAAAAAAAATTTAACTCCCACGCTTGCGGACCGACTTAAAATATCCTCTTTCGATTTCTACACAACAGTTTACCTTCTGCGGCCTTGCTAGCTAAAAGCACAAGGCAACAGATTATAAAAAACAATAAATGTAAAACTTGCGGTAAAATCGATTCGATTTTACCGCAAAAACTGCGAAAAGATTCGATCTTCTCGATTTGGATAGCGAATCTATCGTAGAACAACCCTATTTCACAACTTCTGTTGACACTCACTCAAACCATGATGAGTCCAATATGGAACAGCAGATGCCACCACATGTTTAGTAATATAAAAATTGACCCATTGGCAGTAATCAGGGTAATAATCAGGAAATATTATTACTTTAAAATATAATTATCATGTCCGTAGAAACACTGCGGACATATTCAGTCAACTTTTTTGTGTTAACAATGTATTTTGCCAAGTAGAAAATGGGAAACTAAAACTAAGCATATAAGCTAAATTAATACGCTGGCTCATAACTTAGAACTGAATGTTTAGGAAAGACCTCCTGTTCTCCGCAAAGCTTTAATTACAACAAAAATATTGTCATTTATGATTAGACAATCACTGCCAACCTTTATTTTATGAAATATTATTTTATCCAATATGTGTTATATGTAAAGAGTGTAAAGTGGCATTTGTGTAAAAGTCCAGTAAATTTCTTCATTACCTATTTGTTTTTACTTTAATATAGTCTTTCTTTTTATATACTCTAATCTAATATTGAAAATTATTTTTCAATATATATTAACTCTTTTTAAACCTTACAATGTTTTTGACATCTCCCCGCCCAATGACTAAAAATCAAAAAAATATATAACAAAAAAATATAAAACATAAAAATACCAAAGAATATAAAATTTAAAAACACAAAAACAAAATGTATATAATTAAAAATATAAATAAAATGTATATAAATAAAACAGTTGTAAATATTCTATAATGTATATTCATAACAACATTTGTAAAACTTCTAGATTGTAAAACCATAACTTAACCTGAGATATAAATTTATAAAATTGTATATAATTTATTGTTTTATAAAGAAAAAAAAAAGTGATTTCTACCCAGTCAAAAAATGACGTCTTTTGAACGTTCAAAAGACGTCCAAAACGTGTATAAGACGTTTAAAAGACGTCTTTTTTACGTCGGTGTCCACTGGAAAGTAAATGGACTGTTAGTCTGTTAGAGCTTTCTTTATGCTAGTTTTGTTACTTTGTGGTTTTTTTTCTTCTCTACCTAAGGTAAACTTAACCCATCATCTTTTCAAAATTAATATGCAAATATTCTTTTTACCAAAAAACTTTGTTATAAGAACAAAATTAAAAAAAAAATTATTTGTTAACTAATTGTAAAGAAAAGTAATATTTGCTGAGCATTTATTAACGAACGGATGAACTGCGATTGGGTAAAATCTCTGTATTAAAAATTTACTATTGCTCTTAGGGTATTACTGATTTTTTTTAAATTGACGTGTCAAAAATTATTAAAGCTTGACAGGAAAGTGTTGTCGATCTTAACTCACTCGACTTAGCGCTAAGAGGTTGATATTTGTTCTTTTTACTAAGCAACAGCTTCCACATTGGAAGGTTTGACGACAAGGAGGAATTACATCATCATTTTGAAAAAACGCCTTAAAAGTAACCTTTGAGCCAACCTAATAATAATATCAATGTTGCATAATGCATTTGGTATTTTTTTAAAGTTTTTATTACCTATTTATCTGGCTATATATCTTGTTGTTTTGGGTATATATTTTGCATCGTTTTTAACTTTTTCAGACAATTTTAAAGTTAATTTTCTTTTAGGTTGTTTTCATTTGTCTTTAAAAGACAAAGCAAAAGAAAAACGCTAATAAAATTCGGCGCTTATTTATTTACACAACCAATAAAAAGAGTTTTTCAATTCTTTCAACTTGCGTTAGATTTGAATTAGATTTTGAGATTATATTAATATTTACGTAATGTATTTATGATAATATAATGTAGTTTAATTGAAAATGGCTGTCATGTTTTAAGTAAAAACGGAAAAGAAATAAAGACATTTTTAAATTAAAAAATGTTGTTCATGAGCGGGCATCAAAACCTATGTTGAGTTAAAAGGAAAAGGGTCGAAATTTTACGATACGTATTTGGATTCTTAAAGAAACATTACGAATTCTATTAAAAGTCACATTCAAGAATGCTATTATATAAAGTGAAAAGTTTTGAAATGTGGTTTGAAAGTTAAAATCGAAGAAGATTACTCAAATTTATATCAAAGTTTTAGACAATTTCTACTACTTGCATAGACCTTATCTATTGCTTTAGGTTTGTTGTGTTCTTAAAAAATATTTTTTGACCAAGAACTTAAATTTAAAGTCTGCAAATTTTTTTTTTTTTTGCGGTAGTATTCCAGGTTTACATTTATAATTATATTCAGAATATTTCAAAGTAATATATGCGTATTTTTATCCATTCTAATTTTTACAGCTACTAATAAATTTCTGTTTACGGATTTTGTATTGATTATACTCGAAACAATTTATATTTCTTCATCAATGTCGAAACTCTTCAAAGCAAATTCCAGCTCAATATCATTTTTTTGAAAACCTTTTCTTCCTTTGATTGTATGATGTCTTTTAAAAAATTTTTAAATTTGGATTGTAATTGGATATCTTTTATTTATGATAATTGCATGATATTTTACTGCAAATTTTGCTACAACAAAAGCAGTTCCGTGAAAAGTAAGATAATTTTACATCTTTCTCACTCCAGTGTGTATTTAATCTCTTTGCTTTGAGCAGCTGCGAAGAAACGGCAGGTGTTCTAAACAAAACTCTTCTTTAGGTTATAAAAACGCGTTGTAAATAAATGAATTGCTTGATGTCTTGACCACATGAAATCATTTAGTAAAATAATAGCACTACTACTAGTAGTTCACTAAAAAATAAATCTTTGGTTATAACGTTGGCGAGAATAATTCGATTTTAAACTTTACAGAGAACCACATAGTGTTATAAAACTTTACAGAGAACCCCATAATGTTATAAAACTTTACAGAGAACCACATAGGGTAAAACACCCAGTGTTCGCCACTTTTTTGAATTTAGTCCAATATAAATATTGATTTCTCGCTCTTATTTTCACAAATTTTAAATTTTTTAGTCTGATCGAGAGTTGGTCTTTACGATGCTCATATATGAGCATGTTTTTTTGGAGATTTCATCTCTTTCCTTTATCGTTTAATAAGCTAGAGCCGGCGTTGAACCTCGGACCTTCTGGTTTTTAATTCTAATAATTGTACCACGACTGCAGATTACAATCTATGAAGTCAAGAAGATCTAAAATTCATTTAGGCGAAACATTTTTTTTTTTTTTTTTTTTTTTAAGCAAAGAGTTTTGTCATATATTAAAATTTACAATGAAATAAATTGTGTTAATAAGAGAACTGG